TTCAGTCTCAATTATTATTAGGATTTATTATAGAAGTCTGTATTGAGTGCCTGTTATAGGCACTGGGAATRTAATAGATAAAATACAAAATATCAAAATCCCTGGTCTTGAGGAACTTGCAAACTGTACACAATATACATGATTCTTATCACCTAGTATGTTGGAAAATGGTAAGTGCTATGAAAAAAATAACTAATAAACCAGGGGGAGGTCATTGCAGTAGTAGAGTTGGAGGCAAGGGGCTAGTTGCAGTATTACATAGGTGGTCAGGGCCTTAGGGAGAAGATGAGACTTGAGCAAAACCTGGWTGGAAGTGAACAGGAAAACTGATCAGAGAGGTGTCTAGGGAAAAGGAACAGCCAGAGCAAAATTCCTAAGGCAGGAGTGTGTAGGGAGTCACAAGAGAGAAAGTAGTATGACTGAAGTAACGTATATGTGGGGAAGGGGTAGGGAAGAGAGTTTGACCATGCAGTATCTTATAGGCCACTATACCCACTTTGGTTCTTAGTTTGGGTAAAACAGAAAGCTACTGGAGAGTTTGAACAAATGACATGATCTACTTTTCCTATTCCTATGAAATATTGCTTACCCTGTAGAGGTGTTAATGAGGTCACAAAGCTCTTAGAACAGTGGCCAGATACGGTGACACATACCTGTAATCCCAGCAACCTTGGAGGCTGAGACRGGAGGAACATAAGTTCCAGGCCAGCCTCCACAATTTAATGAAACCCTAAGCAACTTAGTGACACCCTCTCTCAAAATAAAAAAATAAATAAAAGGGCAGGGGATGTAGCTCAGTGGTATAATAAGTGCTATYGAATGTTCATTTGGTTAAACAAATAAAAACATCTTTGGTAAGACAAATCGGAATGTAGTGAGTAGTCTATGACTTAAAAGGGCATACTGAGTGTACCTTTTCCCCCACATACTTGCCAACACTTATTGTTGTTTGTCTTCATAATAGCTGCCATTCTGATTGGAGTGAGATGATATCTTAGAGTAGTTTTGATTTGCATTTCTCTAATTGCCAGATGATGAACTTTTTTTCATATATTTGTTGATTGATTGTATATCATCTTCTGAAAAGTGTCTGTTCAAGTCCTTGGCCCATTTATTGATTGGGTCATTTGTTTTTTTCAGTGTTTAGCTTCTTGAGTTCTTTATATACCCTAGAAATTAGTGCTTTCTGATGTGTGAGGGGTAAAAATTTGCTCCTAAGATGTAGGCTCTCTATTCACCTCACAGATTGTTTCTTTTTCTAGGAAGAAACTTTTTATCCATTCCATTCATTGATTCTTGATTTTAATTCTTGTGCTACAGGAGTCTTATTAAGGAAGTTGGGGCCTAATCTCACATGGTGGAGATTAGGGCCTACTTTTTCTTCTATTAGATGCAGGGTCTGTGGTTTTATTCCTAGGTCATTGATCCACTTTGAGTTGAATTTTGTGCATGGTGAGAGATAGGGGTTTAATTTCATTTTTTTTTTTTTCATATAGATTTCCAGTTTTCCCAGGACCATTTGTTGAAGAGGTTATCTTTTCTCCAATGCATGTTTTTGGCACCTTTGTCTAATATAAGATAATTGTAATTTTGTGGGTTAGTCTCTGTGTCCTCTATTCTGTACCATTGGTCTACCAGTCTGTTTTGATGCCAATACCATGCTGTTTTTGTTCCTATTGCTCTGTAATACAGTTTAAGATCTGGTATAGTGATGCTACCTGCTTCACTCTTCCTGCTAAGGATTGCTTTAGCTATTCTGGGTCTCTTATTTTTTCCAAATGAATTTTATGACTGCTTTTTCTATTTCTATGAGGAATGTCATTGGAATTTTGATTGGAGTTGCATTAAATCTGTATAGTGCTTTTGGTAGTATGGTCATTTTGATAATATTAATTCTGCCTATCCAAGAACAAGGTAGATCTTTCCATCTTCTAAGGTCTTCTTTGATTTCTTTTTTTAGGGTTCTGTAGTTTTCGTTATATATATCTTTCACCTCTTTTGTTGATTCCCAAGTATTTTATTTTTTTTGAGGCTATTGTAAATGGGGTAGTTTCCCTATTTCCCTTTTTGAGGATTTGTCACTGATATACAAAATGCCTTTGATTTATAGGTGTTGATTTTACATCCTGCTATAGCCAATATGGAAAGCAGTATGGAGATTCCTTGGAAAATTGGGAATGGATACACAATTTGACCTAGCTCTCTCTCTCCTCTGTCTATACCCAAAGGACGTAAAAACAGCATACTACAGAGACACAGCCACATCAATGTTTATAGCAGCACAATTCACAATAGCTAAACTGTGGAACCAACCTAGATGCCCTTCAGTAGATGAATGGATAAAAAAAGTAGCACATATACACAATGGAATATTACTCAGCAATAAAAGAAAAAAAGTCATGGCATTTGCAGGTAAATGGATGGAGTTAGAGAAGATAATGCTAAGTGAAGTTAGCTAATACCCCAAAATAAATACCAAATGTTTTCTCTGATATAGGGAGGCTGATTCATAGAAGGGTAGGGAGGGGGAGCATTGGAGATGAACTCTAGATAGGGCAGTGGGGTGGGAGGGAAAAGAAAGAGACGTGGAGTTAGAAATGATGGTGGAATGTGATGGATATTATTATTCAAAGTACATGTATGAAGACAGGAATTGGTGTGAATATACTTTGTATACAACCAGAGATATGAAAAATTTGTGCACTATATGTGTAATATGAATTGTAATGCATTCTGCTGTCATATATAAGTAAAAATTAATAATAAAAAAGAGCATATTGACATAAACCCAAATTATAAGATGATATAAAGTAAGCATAGAAGATAGTGGAAACACAAATGATGAACTCTCCTTACCGTGGTTATTAAGAGCAGAGTCCAGTGCTTAAAGAATGTTCCAGTTGGAGAGAGCAGTGCTAAGAGCTGAAGAGATACACAAATGTCCCTGTATCAAAGGCTTAAAGGCTCTGAAACAGACGTGAATGAAATGAATGAAAAACAATCAGGGAAAATCTTGTAGTGGAGGTGTAGTAGGGAGTGATTCATTTCAATTTGCAATTGGGGAGGCTTCATGGTGAGGAGGCCCAGCCTGATGATTTATTAGAGGGACTCCAGAATCAGGTTGGCTCAATGTGGAATACTGACTTTGTACCTCACTAGTTGTATGACTTTAGCTCTCTAATCCTCAATCTCCTCATTGGTAAAGTGGGATTATTAATGATGATGACAATAGYAACATCTAGCTCACAGAGCTGAAAAAAATTCATTGAATCCATCTAATTCTTCAGTGCAAAGTACTCAGTAAAGGTCTAACACTTATTATTATCACATTATGAGTTCAACCTTGTGTGAGGAGAACTTCKATCAGCACTAAAGGAATAACATTTAGAAAGGCCCAGAAGTCCAAAAGCATGTTACACAGTTAAAGAAAACAAGTCAGTGCCATCTAAAGTAAGGTCACTAAAGCTAGTCTATGAACTGTTTTTTAAAGRTCCATTAAGAAGTACAGAAACTGAGAGTAAGCATTTAGAATTATTTTTAAATTGAAAGAATAGTTTTCTACTTGTTGCAAACTTCTTTTCTTGTTCTAAGAAAACCTAAGGCTTATAGTATTTTATGTTTTTATGTCACTTTTGTTAGCATGTTTATTGTATTTTACAAAATATAACAGCCATGAAAGATTGAACATAATAAAAAGTTGTTYTTTATTCAAGATTGTTTGAAATAAAAGTAATTTAATGGGCTGAATATGACATCCTAGAAATGATCATGGAAAGATTTACCAGGGCCCCCATTGTGAGGGTCTTTGAATGCCTTATAGAGTTGATACTTTGTGCGGTGGGCCACTGGATTCATTAAAATTTAGAAGCATTTTAAACCAAGGTTTATGTGTATGTAGGTGTATGGGCTTTGCACCTTTTTTGTGTGTGTTTAGTGAGCATGTGATTTTTCTTTTTATTTTTTTTAAGATTGTGTGTGTGTGTGTGTGTGTGTGTGTGTGTGTGTTTGGTTTAGAGGAGAGACTGGAACTGCTCAATGTTTCACAAAGATAACTGTTTGTATTTGATAAGAGTTTGATTAAACAAAAGAATCTAGATAATCAAAACATAAAACGTTGACAATACATGAGCACATACTTTTGTGACCAGAAATGCGTGTGACTGTTGAGATAAGGTACACCGGGTAATCGGATGAGTCAACTCTGTTCTTGGGCACCCTTATATAATTAATGGAGAGAGAGAGAGAGAGAGAGAGAGAGAGAGAGAGAGAGAGAGAGAGAGAGAGAGAAAAGACTTTCTGATCTCCTAGTTTGTGTCATCTCCTCTCCCCTCCATCATCATGGGAAAATAACGGTTTAATGATCGCTCCCCGTGGGAGGTGTTTGACAGCTCATAAAGCACAGTTTCCAGACTTTGGGCTTCGAGCTTCGAGGACGGCTTGCCCTTAGCCACGCTCAGAGAAWGAAAAACCTTTCAGCTGCGGAGGCCCATCCTTTCCCACCTGCAGAGATTTCTTGAAGCACCGTCATGCTCCAGCCCTGTGCCTTCTGGTGGCCCTGACGCAGGCCTGACCCAAGGCCACAGCTTCAGAAAATCACCAAGCCCAGAGCCCAGGCCCTGCAGACCCAGGTTTGAAGGCGACGCCCGCGTCTCGGTCGCCCCTATAAGCTGCAGCTAGGCCAAGGGTCCGGGAACTCCGGGTGACACCGATTTTCCAACAGGAACCAGAGCCTAGAAGGTGGGGAACCATCCGGCGGACTGGTGGCCCTGAGGTCGCTGGACTCCGGGCGAGACCCCCAGGCGTTCCGGACTCGGCGCCCGGAGTCAGGCTTCCCGGTCCCGCCTCCCGGCCCAGGACGCGGGGGAGGGGCGGGGGGAGGACGACGGTCAAGGTCCGGTTTGGGGTGTGGCCGTCACCACGTCAAATCCCGAAGCAACCTCCCTTGGGCSCTGCCTCCCTGGGGCGCTGCCTCCGCCGCCTCGGCCGCCTTCGCCCAGGAGCTGCCCGACCAGGTGCGTGCGCCACGGCCCGGCCGTGCCCGCGGGCGGCTGCGCCAGGCCCAGGCTCCTCCTGGCGGGCGGGCCCGGAGAAGGGGACAGGTTTTCAGCACCTCTCATTCGCAGGAGCGACTGAAGGACAGGGCTAGGGAGCCACTGGGAGTCGGCCCGGGCCTGCCCCTTTCGTGACACTGGAGGCCCGGGCGCTGGAAACCTGGAAGCCCCAGGGCGTGGGGTGGAGGGGGAATCCGTGCGACCGCAGCGAGCTCTGCCTTCCTTAGCAGCCCTTTCCCACCGCGGCCTCCCTCCGCCTGGGCCCGGGGCCCCAGCCCCGAGCCGCCCGCGGAGCTTCCCTCAGGCCCCAGCTGCAACATTCTTAGTTCCTCCGAACAGCCAAGGGGCGTGATCAGGGCACTTTAGAGGTTCCTTTCACTTTGTACATAGTACTTGTGCTTTTGGTGTGAGTGTCCAGTTTCCACTCCTAGACTCTATGTTGCATGAGGGTCAGGCCCACGCCTGGCTTGTCATTTCTGCTCTCTAATGACATGAATATCAACGGAGTAGACCTGAATGAATGAACAGGTTAAGTGATTGACTTATATACGAGTAGAGCAGAATGAAGGAACATAGGAATGGATACAAATACCTATGAATACCTAGTTCGGGTCATCTCCTCTCCTCTCCATCATCACTGGCTCTCGAACAATCCTGGAATCGGCAGGATGGGGAAATAACGGTTTAATGGAGGCCCGTGGATATGCAGGCTTATAATTTGCACTTTCTGAAAGTTTTCCAAAGAGTTGTGTAAGTGTTGCACTTTTACAAATGGAGTCGTTCTGATTGTCATTACTTAAAAGGAATTCTATGCTATTGTTAAAGAAATAATCACCAAGCATCCCCCCCCTCGATATTTTGCTTAAAACAAAATATACCTAGTCCTTAGTTTTCTTCTACATTGAGACTTTTGAAAGATCTTTGTCAACATGGTGTTATTTAATATATTTCTAAAAGATAAGTTTGGATTTAAAGGTAGAACCACATGACTCAGACTTGTTTCAAGAACCAGGCGTTTCTTTTGAATTCAGGATTGTGAAGAATCTTCTCTGTTTTTCTGAGACAGGTGCTGGTTCATCTGCAGGTGACTGAAGAAGGCTAAATGTGGCCCAGAGAGGAAAAGAGGGACATATATCCATGTGTGAACACATAGTACATGAAAGACTGCTTTAACAATTGGTCAATGAAGCATTTCTGTTTCTATGTCAGAGTTCCAGAAAAGCTGGATGASCTTGGATCTCACTTAATCTCTTTAGGTTTTAGTTTCTTAATTTCCAAGAGGAGGGAACTTAGCTGGGTCTCCTTTGTGAGTTAAATTTGGGGGATTCTATTTTATCCTGGTTAGAGAGTGCAGATCATTTCTTGGAGTTCTGCTAACTTCACTGGTCTGCTTGGCATTCTGCAGAATCTTGTTATTTTCTTCTCTGCAAATTACAGCTCATTTGCTTTCCTCTCAACATTTGCAGAAAGAGGAACTGAGACCCTGGCTGGTGGGAAGAAATGAGGGAAAGACTTTGTTCTACATTGTCACAGGCTTCCCACCCTGGGTCTAACTTGTTTCCAATGCAAACCAGACAGAAGATGCCATATATTTCCACTTATCTAGGGAGTTGTGTCACTGTTAATTTGCATGCATTTGAGATTAGTTATCACAGATCACATTTTGGAGCTGAAAGGACCTTGGAGATTTTTAAAAGGCACTTAAAAAGTCATTTTACATACATATTAAAATATTTTTGCATGCTACATTTAACAAACACAAAGTCCAAAAATAAAATTAATGTTACCTACTTCAGTTATTTCAAGTCTGCAGCAAGAAGTGGAGCAAATGTTTTGCTTTGTGAAAAAGACTGATTTTTCTCAGGCTCTTTTCCCAAAGAGCCAGTTATGGGGTCATGTGTCATTTAGGCATGGAATGTCACAAAGATGATATTTATGGAGCCCTGACCATGTTCGAGGCACTGGTATATTTAACTTTTTTTTACTTATGTTGGCTCATTTAATCCTTACTGTAAATTTAAGAGCTGGGTACAATTGTAATCCGTGTTTGACCTTCCTAAATAGGAACAGTACTTGCAAAATGGAAAAATCAGGACTCAAAATGCAAGCAGATAGAGGCAGGATTCCTCCCAGAAACACAGACAGTTCCTGCTAGGAAAGCCTGTGTCTTGTTGAAGAGTATGGTCAAGAATGAATGCACATTCTGGGGCCTTGAGRATAAGTGAATTTAGAATGGAAACCCAGGAGTGGAATGATAAAGACTGAATTATAAAGGAGTTGGTTTTGTTTCATTATATTGAAAAGTATTGACTTCTATTGAGATTCTAGCAGACTGTGATACTTCAACCTAGGTGCTCCTATATTGTAATTTTACATGTGTTCAGTCTTACCGATTTGGAGAGTATAAAGTGCATGACATTGAGAGCTGTCATCAGTGAGTGGCACCTGAGAGCTTTGAGGCATGAGTGCCAAGCACTGTTGTTTCTTGGGCTAGTTTTGTGTACTTGGGAAGGTGCTGCCTGCCAACTCCTTCATAAGGAGGACAGTTCTTGGTGCAGACAAAGCCCAATGCCTCCATTTCTGTAATCCAGGGACAAGACAGTAAGATGGGTTTCCAGGATCCTTAAAAATTAATTGACAAGAGCAAAGGACCAAAAAAAAAAAGTCCATAAATAAGTGAAAATATTATTATTATTATTATTATTATTATTATTATTATTATTTTGTCAACCAGGTTTATCCTCATGGAAGGCAGAGACCAATTGTGAATGCCTAAAAATCTGAGAGCTGATGCCAATTTGATTTAGCTCAAGAAGCTGAAACTTTCTGCCCTGAAGGCTGGTGTGATGGAATAGACCTTCCCATTGCTTGCAATATTATGGGAAAAAAARCCAAACAAACAAACATTAAAGAAACAATTTTTATTACTTGCCCTGGAGCTGGAGCTTTAAAATGTATCTTCTCCCCCTACCCTTCTTAAACTACTTGGTTTTTAAAAACAAACAACGCAATTCATGTGTTAGCTACAGTCAGAATATTGGTCCTTTCTCTTTATTCCTGGGCTCCTTTCTTTAATGCAACAAAATAATAGGACTGGTGTGCTTCTAGGTCTCTGGAATTTTTCTTCGGTTCTTATTTTATTCAGCAAATATTAATTTTCATAACTATTTACCAAATTTGTACTATGTGCCACATAAAGAATGGGATACAGAGTTTCAGGAGACCAGTGACCCATTACAAATATTTGCACACCATATGTAGAAGAGGAAAGCGGTGTGGTTGGAGCTTTGAAGTGTGTTTTGAGGGGAGAGGCAGCTGTGAACCATCCAGGTATGGATGCTCAGAAAACCTTGACCSTAGCAGAGCTGTCACATGGTGGAGACTTCTATCAAACATTACAACAGGTCCTCGGACTAAAAAGGCACATCAGTTTGATATCTCACTTAAAAAGAAGAAGGAAGAAGCACATTTGACTTGACTAATGACCATTACATTGTATTTCAGGGGAGTTCTTAGACATCAGATCCTTATGTAAATTTCAGTGAAGAAAGATTGGAGACTTGAACAACAAGGAATACTACAAGCCATCAAGAGAGACTGTTATAGGGAAACAGACAGGAATAGTTCCAAGAAACAAAAGATAAGGAAACTGCAGGACTGTAACAGAGAGTGGTGATTGCTAAAGATACAAGTATGGACAGATTTGGAAATCAGAAGAAAATCGAGCTGACTTTTCCAAATAACTGTACTTCTCTAAAGATAACACTGTCGCAAGCTTAGATTTCTCATCTTACTCAGTTTGTCAGGAAGACAAACAGGAGATTGTTCAGAGGTGTGCATGTTGTCTAGAGAGTTGATCTTATTTTGCAGAGAACGTGTTGGGAGACTTTGAACTAACTGAAGAGTAGCAGAGGAAGAATAAGATGGAAAGAAAAAGGGTAATGATTAGGAAGAAGTTTTCAAATTTCAAGAAATTTGAAAGAAGTTATCAAATTTCAAGAACTGGTTGTTAATAAGGAAAAGGTCGCCTGGTGCATTGTATGTTGGTGTAGCAGTATTAGATTTTCTTGGAAAAAAGATTAGTGTAGTACCTTGTATTTAAGAAGCAACTTTACATTTGATTACAACATGCTCAGATGTAGATGTAACCAGGGACTATTATCTTTCTCTTACAAACTCACAATCTGATATTAAGGTATCTATCACTGGCAACAACTCTCAGCCCTCTGACTTTCAGTCCACTGCTCTGACTGTTGTTTCAAAGTCTCGCTTTKTCTTGGAGCCTTGGTTTCTTGCAGTGTATCCCCTCAACCTCTACCATATCACATCAAATAAAAGTGAAGCAGATGGTCTTTGAAGGCCAACAGAGTAAAGATTTTCAGGGGGAGAGGCAGTGATGGAAAGAATGCTTAGTACAAGTTCTGATGAATAATTGAAGGGTTGTATTTAGAGAACATCTGTGGAAATAAAATGACACTTTCAATTCAACAGGCAAGTACCATATGTAATCTTACAAATCAATCTTCTATGATATATTATCTGAATAAATCCAATTTTTTAAAGTTTGCTTAAAGCAATATACATCTCTAACATCTAACTTTATTACAAGTGAAGACTTTCCTGACTTGGATATCAAATATGAAGATGGGAAGCTGGATCCCCAAATTATTAGAGACTACACATTGAACATAATGATTTTCAGTTAACTTCATCTAGCTACTTTTTCTGCTTACCATGCACCTACATGGAGTGCACTGGATGGAATGAAAGACAAATCCAGTCCTCGTGCTGCTCTCAGTTTAACAGTGGAACTTGCAAGTCAGTTATAATGTAATCCATCCATACCGTGGGTCAGGGCAGGGAAACCTGAAACTCTTATGGTCCTTGAGTTCCATATTAGTATTAAAATGAAACCAAGTGTCCTTCAAAACAAAGGGCATTACACTAAACCCAGGGTTATT